TTCTTTTCCTTTTGCTTTGCAGGACATGGGGGCTTCTTTTTAAACCTAAGGTTCAAAAGACAGTAGCTAGAATTTATGCTGAAGTGGAGTAACAGGCTTTGGATCTGAGCAGTGTCCTAATGCAGGTGAAAAGCATGTATTGATTACTTAAAGAAAGTTAAAATAAAAGCAATTTTTCTCCCCATTTCGGCACATTGCAGCTTTTGGCCTATCCACTCGTAGCTAAAAAAGCATTCTTTCCTGATAATCAAGCTTCAGCTGTCTGAATTTCAGGCCGAGCCTCTCCTTCTGAGCTCTGCTGAAGAGCTGCTTTAATTAACCATTATACCACAGATGTTATTGATTTTTTTTCAAATCTGGTTGAAACATCATTGTGCTGGATCATGGCCAAAACTAAGGCCTGAATTTGTGTGTGCGTGTGAGTGTGTGTGTGTGTGTGTGTGTGTGCTGCTTTATTCCTTCTGCATACCTTATTAGTCTCCGTGTCTGTTAAGTGCAATCCTTAGTATTAACTCAGAAAATATAGAATTGATTTTTAGCTCAGCTGCTGTGATCTAAGGGCTCCTAATTTGAAATCTGAAAACCTCAGTTGCCGAGGAAGTCTTTCCACTGTTACTCTACATTTCCTTCGAGTAAGCTTTTTATTCTTTAATTTAAAAAAGAAATCTCCCTCTGCCTTTTACTTTGTGCTCTCTCTCTCTCTCTCTCTCTCTCTCTCTTTCACACACACACACACACACACACACACACATTTTGTAGGTTTCACAGGAACATGACCCATTCCGTATTTTGAACACATTTGTCGTGAAAGGCCCTCAAAGCCTTATTCTTGTCTGCTCTAAATGTTTGACCTATGATATGGACTCCATGAAATTTTGAAATTGAAGTACCTCAACATTTTCCATATTTTGAAGGAAAATTTGGAAGAACTTGAGCAACATTCACTTGAGCAAATTGCAGGATATCAGAAACAACAGGGCATCTGCATTCCTTTTACAACCCACCTTCCAGTGATGACAAACTCAAGGACCAAATAGTCACAGTAGGTCCCCAAATTCTGATAAGGTTTCTGTGAGTTTAGTGATACGTTCTTTAAATGTAATTTGAAGCTTTTAAAATACTGTAATGGCAGCTCTTGACCTTTAAAAAATCACATGGAGCAAGAGGTGGTGAAAAATGTTTATTTACTTTGCATCAGTGCTAAACTCCCAGACCTTCCTAGAACCGGTAGT